TTAGCAGTTTCATTAGAAGAACTTTATAATGGAGCTGTCAGAAAATTAGCATTACAAAAAAATGTTATATGTGATAAATGTGAAGGTATAGACAAAACAAAAACAAATTTCTATTTTTCTTTTGTGTAAATATTTTATTTATTTTTAGGTCGTGGTGGTAAAAAAGGTGCCGTATCAAAATGTACAACATGTAATGGTAGTTGTTATGTTGTTCGTGTTAATCAAATAGCACCGGGTATGATACAACAAATTCGATCACATTGTCCAGAGTGTGAAGGTCAAGGAGAAAAAATCAATCCTAAAGATAAATGTAAAACATGTGATGGAAAAAAAATTGTTCGTGAAAGAAAAATTATTGAAGTTCATATCGATAAAGGTAATGAAGAAAAATAATGATTATAAGTTTTTCAAAAAGAAATAATTTTTTTTTTTAAAGGTATGGAAGATGGAAAGAAAATTACATTTAGTGGTGAAGGTGATCAAGAAGCAGGTCTTCAACCAGGTGATATTATTGTTGTTTTGGATGAAAAAGAACATGCTACATTTAAACGAGATAAAACTGATTTACATATGAAAATGCAAATAACTTTAATTGAATCATTATGTGGTTTTCAAAAAGTTATTAAAACACTTGACAATCGACAATTAGTTATTACTTCATTACCAGGTATGATAAAAATAATTTGAAAATAAAACTAATTTATTTTCTTGTTTATTTTAGGTGAAATTATCAAACCAGGCGATATAAAATGTATTTTAAACGAAGGAATGCCGGTTTATCGCAATCCATTAGAAAAAGGTCGTCTTGTACTTCATTTTGATGTGAAATTTCCAGATAAAAATGAATTACGACCAGAAAGTATCGCTAAATTGGAAAAAGTTTTACCACCACGTACACCGGTTCAAATACCAATGAATGCTGAAGAATGCGTTTTGATTGAATATGATCCACGTCAATCTCAACGTTCGCATAGACATGAAATGTATGATGATGATTCAGGTCATCATGGTGGAGCAACACAAGTCAATTGTGCAACACATTAATTGACTTATTGACACATCAATATCTTTTTCTTCAATTAATCATTCTTGGATTATTTTTTTTTTCTTTACATATTGCGTGTGTGTGAAAGTAATGGAGTAATATCTTGAAAAAGAAAAAAAACACGATCTAAATAAAGAAGAGAGAAGGTATTTATTATTCATATTTTCTTACTATGTCAAAGAATCTACGAAAATGCTTCGGTATTGTTATATGAATTATATTATATAAACATAATGATTTTCTTTTGAATCATTAATTTCGTCTTTTAATTCAAACGGTTTCGATCGATAATATTCATTCAATCAATAAGAATCATTGTATTTGACTCTGAATTCTAACATTTACTAGACTGTAAATTCGAACAGAATATATAGTGATGAACAAGAGTACATAGCAGCTATATTTTTCAGTTTGCGTCTTGATCATAATTGTTAGTAAGAATCTGAAAACAAACATTTGTGCAATTGGTAAAATTCTCTATCAGGATTGATAGATCCGAAGACTTCAACAAAACTGTATGAGTGATGCAATCCAGAAAATCGTCTTTCTAACTTTCACTCGAAGATTTTTGCTCATGACCATTAGAATGTTGCTTTCTTGAGATATTCAACATCTAAAAAGTGATCATGTGTCAATAATAGATACATAAAATACAGTATTTTAAGAAGAAAACATTCCTTTGAACCGAAAGTTTGAGAAAATACAAATGACTATGAGAAGTATTTATGTGCAACGTTTCAGAAAATTATTTTCAGATTCGATTCTCTCAAATGTTCATTGTCAGGTTTCGACAACTCAATAAAATGATCACAATTCAAGAAGTACAATGTATGGAGATAAACTCTCCTAGGTTTTTTTTTCTGGTCTCATCGTAGTCTACGAACTGGAATACATCAGATTCAAAACAGTGCATCATACTTGAAGACCTTGCATCGTAAGCAGTTTTGTTGAAGTCTTCGGATCTACCGATTCCGATAGAGAATCCTTTCAGCTACACGAATGTCTTTTCCAGATTTTTGTTAGTTATATTTATGTCTACCAGTACATTTGAATTAAATGCAACAATATTGCTCATGACTACATATTAACCCATAAAGAAAACTTGTATATGTTTGCCTATTTTGGAATACAAAACTGGAATTTAAGAACTAGATTGTAACTCTGGCGAAGTTCAAGTAGAGAAGGCGACTGAGTGAACGAGCTCCAACTGTGTTAGTACATGATCCTTTCATGCGCTACAAATTATCAACATGAAAAGCTGTTTTATTTGTATACATATTCTTGTCAACAAGTTCATTTTTAATGCAAAAGATAAACAATAGGTATTCGACATTCTAAAAGTTTGCATCGAATGTTTATATCAATTGTTTTTGTTTTGTAACTTATAAAATAAAATTACAATAAAGAATACTGTACGAATAATAATATATCGAAGGTAACTCATTTGTTTGATTTGTGTTTTTAATGTATACGAAGATTTGAAGCAGTTTTTTAATATTAGTTCTATTGTAATATGTTCTTGGAAATATAGTTTTGTCATGTTGTTTTTATTAAATATAAATAAAATATCATTTTCTGTATTCAGGTTTTTTTCCTATTTATTAGTTATTAGTATCTCTCTTCTTTGATCGATATAAGCCGTGCTAAAACTTTTTTCTAGACGTTTGAAACTTCCTGGTCGATAAGTTTAAGTCACACAAGACAATAATTCTTAATTATAAATAGGGTTGATTAATAATTCTGACCAGATTAAATAAAAAGATGAAACCAAAGAGGTAGTATTAGTTTTATTTTATTTTATTAGATATTCAAAGTAGTTGTCCTGATTATTTATACAAATTTTCATCCTTTGACTAACTTTTCTTCTGAAATATTGTTAACTATTTGGAAAGCTGCACTAGTCAAAGATCACATGATGTTGAGTCTAGTGAAAATCGTAGATGCAATCTTATATTCATATGTTCTGGTGTCAAATAATTAATACATGTGCCCTGGTAGTTCAGAACAAAACCTTTTGTCGTTTAAACCAGTATGTGTTGTCTAAAGAAACCATTCATTACACCTAAATGCTATCTGGAAGCAGAAAACAGCAAGACATTGTCCCTCATAAACGTCATTTAACGTTTCAGTGCCGTTTATAAGGGGCAATTTTCTGCCTTCTAGTTTAGATCACATGATTCGTGACAATATGATATTCGACGCAAGGTGCACATGGCTATAAAAGATATCTTTCCCAATGAAAAAGTGTTGATCCTGGCCCCGGAAACAGCTTGCTCATATCTATATATTCCTAATAAGGAAACTGAAAAATAGAATAAAACTAGTTAAATTCTGTTCTTAAATGTTTTCATTTATGTTTACTTTCGAACATCAAAGTTAAAAATCTGTTGAGTTTTAAGATTTATTTTAATTAATGATTAAACCATATGGAATAGTATCTGAATTTTAATCAGAAAAAGAACTTATTTTAAAACATTTTAAATATACATAATAATTAATATATAGTTACTGGTATTACTAATGCAGCTGTAATATTTTCACTATTATCAAAAAGATTGCTCAGCATTTCAAAGATATACAATAACCAGTATGAAATCCTTTTCTTTCATTTTTGTGTAGCATTTTGTCTTGAGTCTTAATTTTTTGTCTCTATTTATTTTTATATACAAAGTGGAACTGAATTTGTTTTTTTCTTTACTACATAACAAAAATTGTCTATAAAAAAACACTTTTTATTATAATATAAAGGCTCTCCCTATATCGTTGTTCTGTTCTTGTATCTCGTAAACTGATTGGTCCGAATAGTTATTCAATAATGGCAATTTTTATATAATTTCTTTTTACTCATTTCTTTTTATTCTTAAATAGTTACAATTTGATTATCTTCGTCAAAGACACGGAATATGATAATATATATTTAATTCGTTATTTCATTAAATAATATGAGAAAAAATAGTATTAAAAAAACAATTGTTTCTGATTAGTACGAAGGTAAAACTTACGAACAAAAAGAAACGTGTTAAACAAAAGAAAATATACTAAAGTTTGATATTGGGAAAGGTAAATAATAAAAGAACAACACATTGTCTTATTCAATAAAAATAAATCATTTTCTTTTTAATAGGTATCAAACACAGCAAGAATATTTTATTTAATAGCGAACATGATCATGAGTTAGATCTTCAACTAGACAATATGAAAATCGTTTTGATTTACTGATTAATATTGTTTTTTTTCTATCATCAGTTAAATTATTTGTTTTTATGTGCGTATTATAGTGATGAGATGACATTTTCATACCAAAAAAAAAAATCATGACCCAAGTACGGTCTCGAAGAATAGTAAAGTTAAAAAATAAAGTCAACGATAAGAGGTGTAATCTTTGAATATTATTACTTCCCTTATACATTAATCAAAAGACAATTATGAGAACTACTTTCGTTGAATGCAAAGTTTTTCTATTTGGATAAGTTTCAGTAGATATGAATGGACTGACTCTGTCAAAATGAGATTCTTTAAACTGATCTCATTTCAATATACATCATGAATTTATTGTCTATATATTCTAAGTATTCTCAATAAGGGTTCAAAAAAAAACCTGGAATAGCTTTAGAACAAAAGTCTTCTTATTTAGGTTTTAGTGTAGACTTGTCACTTAGGTTTGGATTTATATTCGAATTGAAATAAATCTATATAAATAGTTTGGAATTTGATAATAGTTCTTTTAAATGGAATTGAACTGTTCTAAAAAATATTCTTCTTACGAATAGAAGAACTTTGTGCTGTCTCGAGGAACTTCTCTTTCAAAACTCTGATATCTACCTTATGTTATCAAACTCAAGAAATTTAAGCCTTAAGAATCACGTTTAAACTCACATTAAAAACAACATCATAGCAAATAAATATCAAGAAGAATATTTATTCGTTTGTAAATGTATCTTTTGAATAATTTTAGATGTCATCATCATCATTATTATTATCGAATCTTCGTATTCTTGCTCATCCTCATTACTCATTTAATATATTTCTATCTGTTTTTTATCTTGTATTAAAACAATTTATACCAAAATCTTTATGTTCATATGTATTTATAAATGATACAATAACAACACAAGATACACAAGTATTATTACTTTTA